AATGTACTGCTGTAATGGAAGGCATCAGATCTCATTACAGATGGTTGTAAGCCACAATGTGGTTGCTGGGAATTGAACTCGGGACCTCTGGAAGAGCAGCCAGTGCTCTTAACCTCCTGAGCCATCTCTCCAGCCCCCCCCCCCAACATTCTTGAACTTGCTGTGATCTTCCTGCCTTAGCCTCCCAAGGGTTGAAATTACAGATGTGTGCAACCATATTAGCTGGTTTGTCTGTTTTGGATATTTCATATGTGGCCTTTGTGTCTGGCTTCTTTCACTTGCATAATTTTCAAAAAGACCCATCTACATTATAGCTTGTCAGGACTTTGTTCCTTTATGTGACTGAATAATATTCCATTGTATGGCTATACCATTGCTTGTTTATCCATTCATTGATGAATTTTAGGGTTTTTTTCTTCTTGCTTTACTATTGTTAAAATGTGTGTGTAAGTTTGTATGGAGATACATTCTCATTCCTTTGAGTATTTACATAGGACTGGAATTGCGGAGTCAAATTACTGTATTTAAGGAACCATTAGAGTATTTTCTTCATTGGCTGCTTTCTTATATTTCTACCAGCAGTAAATATGAGTTTAAACTCCATATTCTCACCAGTATTTTTGAGACATTATGAGACAGTATCTTACTATGCAGTCCTGGCTGGCTTGGAGCTCATTTTCCAAACAAGGCTGACCTCAAAATCATAGATATCTGGCCCATCATTGCACTGGTTTTTGTCCTTTGCCCACCCTTGTCAGCCTGAGTGTGTGAATCATTTCCTGGTTGCTTGGAAGCAATAGGTACTCCCACGATGCCAATAATGGGCCCTTCTTCACCTGGGATGATGCCTGGGGACCTGCTCCTAGAATGAGGCCTCCCATGGGAGGCCACATGCCCATGATATCTGGGCCTCCAATGATAATACCTCCTGCTCTCCATATGGTGGTACCCACTTGGCTTGGTATGACTTGGCCAGATGGATAAGAGCAGAAGGGCTCTTCATCAGTTTTGTATTTCTTGTTCTGTTTCACCAGGAGATCACAGTGCTGAGCCTGAGTGTCTTCTAGCTGCGTGATAAGGGAGGCTTCCCCTTTCCTGACAGAATAGTTTTGAAGGAGAAAAGTGGGATAAAAAAAGTACAGTTTTTATTGTGAAATATGAAAATAAAATTGTCAGCTGTTTTTGTAAAAAGAAAAATCATAGAGCTCTGCCTTTCTCAGTCTGCTGAGTGCTGGGATCAAAGATGTGCACCACCACATGTTGCTCACCCATGTTTTTGTCTTATATTTTAAAACCTGCTTGTGTGTGTGCGTGCATGTGTGTGTCAAGGTACTTGTGTCCAGGTTGGAACAGCCTTGGGTGTTCATTCTCACTCTTCACCTTGGTTGAGAAAGGGTCTCTTGTTCTCCGCTGCATACTCTGGGAGTCTCTTGTTTTTTCTTTTCATCTTCCTCTGGAGTGGTTCTCACCCTTCCTAATGCTGTGACTCTTTAATACAGTTCCTCATATTGTGGTGACCCCAACCATAACATTATTTCATTGCTGCTTTATAACTAATTTTGCTACTGTTATGAATTGTAATGTAAATATCAAATATGCAGGATATCTAATATGTGACCCCCTAAAGGGGTTGCGACCCACAGGTTGAGAACCATTGCTCTTGGAGTACAAGGATTACAAATGCATCCTATCCCATCTGTCTATTTGAGATTCATGGGTGCTTTGAGGTTCTGAACTCAGGTCTTCAACCCTTGTGTGTAGCAAGCACTTTACCCACTGGACTATCTCTTCAGCCCTGATACTGAGGTTTTTTTTTTTTTTTTTTTTGATTAGGTTTTTGGTAAGTGAACTTAGTTGTTGGTATATATTTTCTATTTCTTTTTGGTTTTCAACACAGTTTTATCCATGTAGCCCTGGCTGTCCTGGAACTCACTCTGTGAACCAGGCCAACCTCATCCACCTGTTTTGCTTCCAAGTGTTGGGATTAAAAGCCACCACTGCCCGACTTGGTATGTATTTTCCTATGTATTATGTGATATCTTTTTGTTAACAGCCATTGCTGATCTTTGCTTGCATTTATCTACATTTTTGACAGGTGGTTTTGCTACTAATCTTAGATTGGTGTTTTCATTTGCTTGTTTTCTGGCTCCTATTCTTCATGACTCACTGTCATCTGTATGGCACCCTTGTTGGTCTTCGGGAGTATCTGTCTTCTTGTTCCTCTATTCTTATTTTCTGGTACTTTTAAGATTTTCTCTTTTTGGTTTTCATCAGAAATACTATGATGTGTGTAGTTTTGTTTGTTATCTCAGTTTGTGTTTGAAGTGCTTTGGGCCCTTTATTCAGTATTGGAAAAAATCTCAGTCATTTCTATTTCTTATTCATGCCTATTCTGTTTTCTTCTTCTCTTCTGGTCTCTTATATCTGTAAAATTTTAATTTTCATGTTAGATCATTACGTTTCTTTTCTGGTTTTTTGAGACAGGATTTCTCTGTGTAGTTTTGGAGCCTGTCCTAGAACTAATTCTGTAGACCAGGCTAGTCTCAAACTCAAAGAGATTTACCTGCCTCTGCCAAGTGCTTGGGTTTAAGGTGTGTACAACCACACCCAGCTCTATAGGGTTCTTTCTCATTTGTCATTCTATTTTAAAGAGGGATATTTTCTTCACTAATTCTGGTAGTAGCTCAGGCTTCTTATTAACTCTTACATCCTACATTAACCCATAATTGTTGTCTCTGTTAGCCACGTGGCTTGGTACCTTTTATCAGTGAGGCATTCTCGTCTTGCTTCCTCTGTGTTGACTGCAGACTGACTCTTTCCTCTTCCCAGAATTCTCCTGTTCTCGTTGCTCCGCCTATACTTCCTGCCGGTCACCCTGCCTATACTTCCTGGCCAATCAGCATTTTATTAAATTAATTCAAGTGACAAATCTTTACAAAGTATAAGACCATTGTCCCACAGCAATGCACAAACTGGGCATGGTGGCACATGTCTTTAATCCTCACACTCCAGAGGCAGAGCAGATGAATCTTTGAGTTCAGTGCCACCATGTTCTACATAATGAGTTCCAGGCCAGTCAGAGCTACATAGTGAGACCCTGTCTTTAAAAAGTGTGTGTGTGTGTGTACATACATAGATGCACTTATATATTAAAGTAAAAAAGCAATATATGTATATGTTTGCTGTATCTAGTTGCTATATCCATCAAACCCACACTTAAGTTTCTTGCTTTAATTATTATACATTTCAGTTCTGTTTTTATTGTTTGGTTTGTAATTAACATTCACAGTTCTTGGCCAAAATTCTTTGATTAGTCATTTTCATTTGTTTTGGTTGTTTTAAAATCTGCCTCTGGTATTTCTTTCATTTCTGTCTTTGGGACTGTTCCCTCCCTCCCTCCTTCTTTCCTTTTTTTTTTTTTTGAGACAGGGTTTCTCTGTGTAGTCATGACTGACCTGGAACTCACTCTGTAGACTCAGCTGCCTTAAACTCAGAGATCCACCTGCCTTGTCCCGAGTGCCTGAATTGAAGTCATGTACCACCACCACCATCTGGTTGGGACCTGTTTCTATCTTCAATTTTCTCCTTGTTTTTTTGATTGTTTATTGTTTCTTAGAATGTCCATTCATTTTTTTCAGCTTGGGGAAAATACTCCGTGCAGGAACTGATTATGAAAAGCATTGGTGATAGTTTCTGGCTCTGAGTGATTGTTATGAAACCCAAAAACATCAGCATATGTTTTATAAGTTGTTGTGAATAGTCCACAGGCATGGTAGAAGGAGCTGCCAAAAGTCCAAAGAATCATCTTAGGTTTTTAGTATTCTTAGGGAAGGAATTGTGAGAAATGAGAAGAAAATAATCATTTCCAATGGTAAAGGTAGAGGCAGCTGAGAGGATAGGATAGTAGACCTTCCCTCAGAAACAGAATAGAGGTGGGTGTGGTGGTTCTCATCTGTAGGCCCCGCACTCCGGAGGTACAGAAAGGAAGCTCCTAACTAGGAGGTAAGCTTAGGCTGTGTAGAAAGTTGAAAGTCGGCCTCGACTACAATGAGAGAGGCTGTCTCAAAACTCTAGGGAATGCAAATGATTTGTAGAAAATAGCTGGTGTTGTGTGACTCCTGAGTTTAGAGGATAACTCAGTCTCTTAGGGTTGAAAAGTGTTTTCAAAATAGTTGTTTTTAAAAGTCTAAATGTAGGCTGCTTTTTTTTGTTGTTAGTGTTTTTGTTTGTTTATTTTGAGACCTCAGAGTCTCCCTACGTATTCTTGACTGCTTGGAGCTTCTGGCTGACCTCAGACTCATAGAGATCTTCCTGCCTCTGCCTCCCTGTTCTGGGATTAAAGATGTGCACCACATGATTGACATTAGGTTAAGTTTTGAAGGACGTAGCCATTTTGTAAATAGTGATGCCCTCTATGAGAATTTCAGACCATACCATAGCTTGCAACCTTTGTTGTTTTTCTTTGAAATTCTTCTAGTATAATGAGCAGCATAATTGGGGGGTGGGTAAAGAATGGCAGTTAGTATGCTTTTGCGACAGGGACATACATGTGAGGTGAGGAGGGTCCATGCCCAGCAGGTAGTAAACCCTCAAGCTCAGTGATCCCTCTGCAGTTCCTGCCCAGACTACCTCACAGGCCTTTCACAGAGATCTAATTGAATGTGTGAAATAGTTGAAAAAGTGGAAAAGTACTATCCAAATATAAAGTGATTTAATTATGTGACTGATAGAGAATTAAATAATTTATAATTTGCTGAACGAAAACCAAGTCATGACATATGCAGAGAAATCAGATATTACAAAAACAAAAAAATGTCATGAATTTAAGCTTTTGGTTTCTGTTTAGAGTACAATAAAATTTAAATATGGATAATTGGATATTCTGTGACATTTGCTCTATGACAAAGTTAAAATAATTCTAGATTCAAAGAATATTATAATTCATAAGCAAAACATTAAAAGTTTTAAACTAAATTATGAAATTATTTCTCTGTCTCTAGGTGAAACATGGTTTCTCTAATGTAACTGGGATTGATTATTCTCCTTCTGCAATTAAGCTTTCTGCAAGCATTCTAGAGAAGGAAGGACTATCTAACATTAACTTGAAGGTAACTATTACTTATTACTATAATATTTTAAGTAATATTTAAAATAAGCTATAATGTTTAAAGACTTTTAAAGTATGTTAATCTGCTGACCTTTTTGAATTTGTAAATTAAGGATCAATCATAAATAATCCAAACTGAAACATTTAAAAGTAACCATTAAAAATTTAATCTAGGGTTAGAGAGATGGCTCAGTGGTTAAGAGCACCAGCTGCTCTTTGAGAGGTCCTGAGTTGAATTCTCAGCAACCACATGACGGCTCACAGCCATCTATAGTTTTGTCTAATGCCCTCTTCTGGCGTGCAGGTGTATATGCAGGTAGAACACTCAGACATAAAATACATAAATAAGTCTTTTAAAAAATTAATTAATTAGTTTACAGAAATTACTTTTGTGTGTGTGTGTGTGTGTGTGTGTGTGTGTGTGTGTGTGTGTGAGACAAGAGTTCTACTGTATAACCCAGGCCAGCCTCAAACTTGATATCTCCTGCCTCAATCTAGCTTGGATTATAGGCATGTACCACTGTGCTTTGTGGGAAAGTATCTTCTTCACTGTGTATTTATATATATTTTATGTTCATACAATACATCCGTGTTTGCAAAAACATACAGTACCTGACTCTGGATTAATCATATCAAAAAGTTCTAAGTGCTGGGCATCCCTTCCTGCAGTGCTGTTCTCCGACTCAGGTTCTGTTAGAGGCTACAGCCACTTCAGCTGTGACTATGGCAGGATTTGGTTGGTTTTTATTTCTTAAAGAAAATGATTTATATTTTAAAAAAGACTTGTAAATGCATAGGATGTTATTAATGTGAATGCAAACATTGTTTTTTAATTCTTTGTCCCACTTGGCTTTAATTGTTAACTTGACATAGCCTAAAGTCATCAGAGATAAAAACCTCAATTGAAGAATTGTCTAGATCAGATTGGCCTGTGGGCATATCTTTGAGGATTGTCTTGATTATTAATTGATATAGGAAGGCCCGGCCCACTATGAGTGGCACCATCCCTAGCATAGCCTGACTGTATTAGAAAGCTACTAGCCAAGCTTCAGCCTGTGAGAAAGTCAGAAAGCTTCAGGTTCCTGCCTTGAGTTCCTGTCCTATGACCTGATCTAGAAGATAAAATAAGTCCTTTCCTCTGCGGAGTTGCTCTTTTCTTTATTTCCTTTTTTTTTTTTTTTTTTTAGGTTTATTTATTTACTATATATATAGCATTTCTTCTATGTATGCCTGCACACCAGAAGGGGGCACCAGATCTCATTATAGATGGCTGTGAGCCACCATGTGGTTGCTGGGAGCTGAACTCAGGACCTCTGGAAGAGCAGTCAGTGCTCTTAGCCACTGAGCCATCTCTCCAGCCCCAGAGTTGCTTTTCATCTGAGTGTTTTCTCACAGCAGCAGAAGGAAATTAGAACCCTTAAAATTCAAGGAGTCAACTTTGTTTCTTCTCTTTGCCTCACCACTCCCATGCTACAAAATAGAGTGAATCAAATGAAAATTGGCTTACATCTTTGTTTTTTTGTTTGTTTTTGGTTTTTGAGACAGAATTTCTCTGTGTAGCCCTAGCTGTCCTGGAACTCGCTCTGCACACCAGACTGGCCTCTGCCTACTGAGTGCTGGGATTAAAAGTTTGTGCCACCAGATGACTTTGATTACTTTTTTGCTTCCAGACCTCCATTGGCTTCCCTTTGTATTCAGCAAGGAGCCTAGATGGCACAGCAAGCTTTAGAAAGCCCTCTTCCTTATGCTGGAGTCCAGTGTATTCCTTTTAACGTGTTAGATAAGAACTCTGCCACTGAACTCCATCTTCAGCCCTCTTCTCGTCCCCCCCCCCCTTCTCGACGTTTCTTTGTGTAGCTCTGGCTATATTGGAACTGTCTTTGTAGACCAGGCTGGCCTTAAGTTCAGAAATCCATCTACCTCTGTCTCCTGAGTTCTGGAATTAAAGGCATATGCAATCAAGGTCAACTCAGGCTGCCTTTCTTTTTCTTTTTTCTTTCTTTTCTTTTCTTTTTTAACAAAAGATTTGTCTTCCTAGTTACTCACAGTCTTATTATTGTTTCCTCAAGATTAGGGGTGGTGCTTCCCTTTGTAGCCTAGGCAGGCCTAAGACTTTCGAGGCACTGCCTTTACTTTCTGAAGGCATGACTATAGATATGCACTTCTTGGTTGTCTTATGGATTTTTGTATTGTTTTGTGCTACTGAGACAGGATCAGACATGCTAGGCATCTGAACTTCTGGTCTTCTGTGCTTCTGCTTTCCCAGTTGCTGGAATTACAAGCATGTATTGCTATGCTGAGCCTTTTCTCTTTAAAATTATACTCATGTATTTATTGTGTGTGTGGTGGGCAGATACATGTTCCATTGTGACAGTGGTTGGCCTTCTTCCACCATGTGTGCTCCAGGGATTGAATCTTTTAGTTTGTTGGTTTGGTGACAAGTGCCTTTATCTACTGAGCTCAGACCCTATTTTTATTTTATTTAAGATTCATTTATTTTTATGTGTATTGGTGTATTACCTGGGAAGGCCAGAAGAGAGCTGCAGACTCTCTACATCTTGAGTTACAGGTGACAGTAGACTGCCATGTGGGTGCTGATAACTGAACCTAGAGTCACTGAGGAGCAGCCAGTGCTCTTAACTGGTGAGCCATCTCTCTAGTCCCAGTTTTTGTTTTCCTAATAGTACTTTATTTAGAATATGTTTTAAGAGATATTTTATGGTATAATATTATTAAGCATTTGTGATTTGTTTTTTAGAATTTAAATTGCATTTATTTATTTTGTATATGTACTTGTGTGGACATTCATGTGTTCATGAATTGAGATAGAGCACAACTTTCTGGAATTGATTTTTGCCTTTCCTCATGTGGATCCCCGGGCTCAAACTTAGGTTTGGTGGCAAGGCTTTATCTGTTGAACCATCTTGCTGGCACTGTCTGAAATAGTATCATTATCTATCTTATTACATTTTATTTATTTAGTATGGTGTATAAATGCACTACAACATACTTGTGTAGGTCAGAGGACACTTGTGGGAGTTGGTTCTCGCTATCATGCCAGTCCTAAAGGTCCACTCAGATTGTCTAGTTTGGTGACAGAAGCCTTTACCCACTGAGTCTGAACCTTAAAATACTATAAAGTTTTAGAAAATTACATGTCTTAGTGTGAGTATGTGCATGTGAGTGCAGGAGAGTCCAAGATGATTCTTACATGATGATGTGGTGAGGGGCCTTCTGCATTATAGCAGGCCAATGAGCCAGAGAAAGCTTGCTTTTATAACAATGCCAATCCCTCATTAATTCATTAATCTATTCATGAGGAAAGAGCCCTTATGATGCAATCACTTCAAAGGGGCTCTTCCAGATACTGTTAATATATGATTGTGTTTAGATTTTCAATGTGTGTATTCTGGAAGATGCTCTTAAACAGTGGCAGCTTATTTATTGTTTATCTCTCCCTTTATAAAACACAAGGTTTCTATATTCTAACACAGGTTTCTTTACTCTTCTACTTACTGTTGTATCCTGTATCTAATGAGTATGAATGTCATGAAATACCTTTGGAATCCAAGAATGTTTTGTACAGTTGTTTAGCACGAGGATGTCCCCAGAGTGAGCTCTTCTTGTAGTCTTTATTTCATTATTAGATGTAATGAAGTCTGTGCCTTGGCTATGAGAGCAGGAAAAGTTCCCATCTTCAAATAGAAGGACATGTTGAGTGTACTGTGCTGCTGTGTATCTGCAGTTTCATTCAGCACTGTAGCAGAAGCAGATCTAGGAGAGCCTGGGCTACATGTGTGAGACTCTCTCTCTCACTCTCTCTCTCTCTCTCTCTCTCTCTCTCTCTCTGTGTGTGTGTGTGTGTGTGAGAGAGAGAGAGACCTCCCTCCCCACACACACAAGAAGCACACATGCCAATACATAGTATACATTTTAAGGGTTGATTTAGATATTTACTTTCATTACTAAAATTGTATTAATGATGAGATCTCTATGAGTTCAAGGCCAGCCTGTTCTGCAAAGTGAGTTCTAGGATAGCCAGAGCTGGTACACAGAGAAGCCATGTCTTGAACCCCCCCTCCCCAAATTTTAGAATTAAATTCATTAGTAAATTTTTGTATTACAAAATGAAGGCACATCACTATTTCAAATACCGAAGTCCTATTAGGTGGTTAAAAGCAGGATGCTGATGAATTATTAAAAGCTAAAGTGCAGGACATTTAGCAAGTAGAGTAGTCATAGTTTAAATAGTCCCTTAATTTCTTAAGCTTCATGCCTGTTGTAATATCCATTAGTAGCTTTGTGAGCTGCTGAATCAAAACAAAGGAAATTTTGGTAATTCTTTATTTACTTTAGGCCACTCAGTGGGAGTGCAAGTCATAAATTTTATTTGCAGTGACCTGGGTTCCAAATAAATTTTATCATTTTGATAAATATGTTAAATATTTTCATAAGAATCAACTTTTTGTATACTGGGCTTTTGAGCCAGTATTCCTGGCTTTGATTTGTTTCCAAATTTGTAGAGATTTGAAATGTCCAGGAAACACTATCAAACTCTGTTCTAATTTTGGCTTTAATGATATCGGAAATAACGCACATAAAAGTTAGCTATAAAGTTGAAAATATGTTTATTATATGTAAAATGCCATCATAATGGACTCTTTTATCTCTAACCTTTACATGTTGTCACTTAAGTTATATAAAGATTGTGTTAATTTTTCTCATATGGACATTCATTTCTAATATAGGTAGAAGACTTTTTGAGTCTTTCCACAAAGCTGTCTGGATTTCATGTTTGTGTTGACAAAGGGACTTTCGATGCCATAAGTCTTAATCCTGACAATGCAGTTGAGAAGAGGAAGCAATATGTGATGTCTCTCTCCAGGGTTTTGGAAGTAAAAGGCTTTTTTCTAATAACCTCTTGTAATTGGACCAAGGCAGAGTTGCTAGATGTGTTCAGTGAAGGTAACTGGATGCATGGGATTGAATGTTTACTTCCTTGGGATATTATACTTCTGCTTAGCTCCCCTGTTGGGTACAGTATTTTACATTTCTGGTTGTGGGAATTGCCTGCCTTTCTTCTGTGTTAATGACCTTGGTAATAACTTTGAACTGTGTATACAAAGCACAGAGAAGTAAATTGGTTGGGATCCAAAGGCCTTTTTAACCTTTTTCCCAGAAATCGTGGCAGTTAAGTACTAAAATTTATGAGCTTATAAAGAGCAAGCTCTTTATTTAAGCAATGCAATCTTTTATTTAAGCTGTATGATCTATCCTGAGATTCAGAGCACATGTGCTGTGCTTTTGACTTCAGTGAACTAATTTGTGAATCTACACTCATGTAAATGGAAGTACATGAGGAATGTTTTAGTTTTTCTTTTCCTTTTTTTTTTTTTTTTTTTTTTTTTCTGAGACAGGGTTTCTCTGTGTAGCCCTGACCATCTTTGAACTCTTTCTGTAGAACGGTCTGGCTTCAGACTCAGAGAAATTTACCTGTCTCTGCCTTCTGAGTGCTGGGATTTTAGGTGTGCACCACCACCGCCTGGTGAATGTTTTAATTATATGTAGTTTTTATGGTTTGCGGTCATTTAAGTATTTAAGATTTGTCTGTTTGTTTCTTTTTCTTTTCTTTTCTTTTCTTTTTTCTATTTTTTTTTTTTGGGGGTTTTTCGAGACAGGGTTTCTCTGTAGCTTGGGAGCCTGTCCTGGAACTAGCTTTTGTAGACCAGGCTGGCCTCGAACTCGCAGAGATCCGCCTGCCTCTGCATTTCTCTGTTTCTAATATATATAGCGCAATTATTTTTAACATTGCAGAAAAATGTAGTGGGGAATCAATAATGCTTCTGCATACTGATTCTTGAGGAAAGTCCCTTTTACCTTTTGTGTGTGTGTGTTTGGGGTGTGTTGAGACAAGGTTTCTCTCTGTAGCCCTGACTGTCCTGGAACTTGATCTGAAGACCAGGCTGACCTCTAACTCACAGAGATCCACCTGCCTCCACTTCCTAAATGCTGGGATTAAAGGTGTGTGTTACCACCTCCTGACTCCTTCTGCCTTTTTTTATGCCAGGTAGGATTTTTTTCCTGCCCCATTAGCCAAAGATAATACTCGTACTGTCTACTGAAAGGGAGTTTTGTGAGCCTTAAGAATCATCTATCTCTATACATAGAGCATTTGGAATTTTCTCAGACTCTTTCTTGAACACTTCAAGAAGTATTTTACCTTCTAGTTTATGTAACTGGAATTTTCTGTCCTGCCCGCCAGTTCCCAACAACTCTGAGGCTTACAAACTATTGGCCTATTAGCTCAGGCTCATAATTAACTAGCTCTCACAACCTAAATTAACCCATTTCTATTGGTTTATATTTTACCACAAGGCTTGTGGTTTGTTAACTTATATCTTGCTTCTCCGTGACTGCTGTTATCTCCCTGACTCGGCTTTTTTTCTCTCTGTATCTCTGTTTGAATTTCCTACCTGGCTCTGCTCTGCCTGGTTATTGGCCAGATTAGCCTCTTATTATGAATGGTAATAAGACAAATTCACAGCATACAGAAGGGCATCCCACATCAAGTTTATCTATGCAGCATAGAGACCTTCCTGGGAAAGTACTTTGAAAACTTTTTGGTATTTGTTTACCTTTTCCTTGGAGTCTTTTTCAGGGTTAGTACTAATTATTTTATAGAGGAATGGAAGGAATTTTTCAGGATGAAGTATTAGGTAAATGATTCTACACTAAATATTGGTTACATTTTGACCCCCTCTCACAAGTTAATGAGAAATCATCTCCCTCAAGAGAGCTTACTGCCCAGTTTTCTGTAACCGTGCATCATATTGCGTGCACCTATCTTAGATTTTGTTTTCCTTTTAGTATTAAAGGGCTAGGCAGAGAGAACATGTCCTGTGTCTTCTCTTGTACATTCAAAGCAGGTTTTATAATGGACAGCCTGAAGCATTTATTACTGAAAATGTGAGCTTTTGGCTTCATTACTGTTACTTCCAGCAAACAAGAATTGTATATGATTTACTGTCTTTTATGCCATTAATTTTAGTATCTTCCATGTTACATTTATTTCTCTTAGAACTGTTGGGTTCTAGTCCTGCAGTTGTGGTACACACCTTTGGTCCCATCATTTGAGAGACGGAAGGAGGCGGATCTCTGAGTTCAAGGATAGCCTGGTCTACAGAACAAGTTCCAGGATAGTGAGGGCTACATAGGGAAACCCTGTATCCAAAAAAAACAAAAAAAACAAAAAAACCCAAAAAAACCCCAAAACAAAACAAAAAAAAAAAAACCCAAACAAACCAAAAATCCAAAAAACAAGCAAATAAAAACTCCAAAGAAACAGTTGTGTTCTATCAATAGCCCTTCTTTTCAAAACTCAACAGTTTTAATAAATGCTCACTTCTGCTGTGTGGGGCACGTTTTCCGCTGGTTCTTAAATACAGGTGTTCTCTTTTACCCTGGAACCAACAGACATAAACACTTTTGTCTGTCTCTGGTAATGAGGAACAGACTTTAGCCTGGAATACTGTGCTTTAAAATGTTAGTTTGTCTGAGAACTATTGAGTAAACTCTTTAATTTCAGTTTTAGAACTAAATGGAGAATTAAAACAAGAAAAATGTTCTAATAGGATATGTTAAAAATAATTATTTAGCATTAGAGACTTTTATGATTGTATTGCTTAGAAAATGGTGCTTGAATTTAGATGCTGCAAGACAGCAACAGAGTACTCTGCCCCATGTCACTGCTGAAGGCCTCCCTAGGAGCTGCCTAGATTGGCTGCCACAATCCATTGGCTTAGAATGAAGCTTTCTTCACCAGTCTTTTTTTTTTTTTCATACAATGTATTCTGATCATGTTTCCTTCCCTCCCCCAATTCCTCCCAGATCCTTCCTACCTCTCTACCCAGCTTTATGTTCATTTTCTCTTTAAAAACAAATAAAACCTAAAAGGAAAAAAGATCAAGAAACACATTCAACTCCCCAAAATGAACAAGCAAACAAACAAACAAACAAAACCACCAAAAATCTCACAAAAATGGAAATAAAAATAAATAAGCTGTAAAACCCAAACAGAGTGTAATGAGACAGTCTACAAAAACACTATTGAGCCTGGTGGTGATAATGCACACCTTTAATCCCAGCACTCGGGAGGCAGAGACAAGCAGATCTCTGTGAGTTCGAGGCCAGCCTGGTCTACAGAGCAAGTTCCAGTACAGGCTCCAAAGCTACAGAGAAACCCTGTCTCGAAAAACAAAACAAAACAAAACAAAACAAAAAAAACCAACCCACCATTGAGTGTGCTTTGTATTTGCCAACTACTTCTGTACATGGGACTTGTCCTGAAGTGTGGCTGATACAGTGAGAGTCCATTGGAGAAAACTGAATTTTTCTTTGACAGTGGGTATCTACTACAGATAGATTCTTGAGTGGGAGCCTGTATCTACTTCCCTCTCAGTGCTGAAACCCCCTCTGGCCTGAACCTTTTGAGGCCTGTGTGAGCTGCCTCTGTCAGCTCATGTGCCTCACCAGTCCTTAAAGCTTCTTTTTTTTTTTTTTCCATATTTGAAATGAATTGTGCAATTTTCCTCGGTATTACTGTTCATACAATGTAAATATTTTTCTCAACATTTTTATTACAGTTTATTTATTTAGCTGGGTGGTGGGGTATGTGATTCCTTTGGGAATCAGTTCTCTTTCATTATGTGGGTCCTGGGGATCGAACTCAGGTCCCCAGATTTGGTGGCAGGTGCCGTTCCCTGCTGTGCCATCTCTGCAGCCCAATGTATTTGTTTAGTTGTTTAGTGACCTTTCTGCTTTGTTTTATTATTTTATTTCTATAGGCTTCAATTCCAGACCCAAGCCTTACACATAGGAGGCCAGTATTCTACCACTGAAATACCTTGATGGTTTTTTGTTTGTTTATTTTGAGACAGAGTTTTTCTCTGTAGTCTTGGCTAGAACTCACTATGTTGACTAAACTGGCCTTAGGCAGTAGTGGTGCACGTCTTTAATCCCAGCACTCGGGAGGCAGAAGCAGGTGGGTCTCTGAGTTTGAGGCCAGCCTTTTGTATAAAGCAAGTTCCAGAACAACCAGAGCTACTTAGTGAGACCCTGTCTCAAAAAAAATACAAAACAAAGCAAAACAAACAAGTAAACAAACAAAAAACTCCCATAAAGGCCAGGCGGTGGTGGCGCACCCCTTTAATCCCAGCACTCGGGAGGCAGAGGCAGGTAGATCTCCGTGAGTCTGAGGCCAGCATGGTCTACAAGAGCTAGTTCCAGGACAGGCACCAAAAACTACAGAGAAACCCTGTCTCAAAAATCAAAAAAAAAAAATAAAAAATAAAAAAAACTACCATAAAATATACATTTACAACTCATTTTATAGTTTAGGGAAACACTAGTTATTTTATTTGAATCTTTATAAAGTCACGCGGAGGTTTTGCTGTCTACCATCTATGAATAGAATTCAGGGTCATGGAAAAGGTTCCTTGAGCAAATGTATTTCTTATTTAGAGGTGGGAAAACAGACTTGAACCTAGGACATTGGGTTTTAAATAAGTGTTTCTTTTAAAAGCATTTTGTGCTCTGAAAGTTACAATTTCTTCCAAGATAGTAGTTTGGTTTGGGTATTTTCATTTAATCTTCTAAAATTTGTGATAAAACACCCATAAGATTTTTACTATTTTAACTGCTTTTAAGTGAATGATTCAGATTGAGCATGGCGGTGTATACCTTTAATCCTAGTATTTGTTAGGTGGAGGCAGGAAGATCAGGAGTTTGAAGGTCATCTGTGGGTATATAGAAACTATAGGACCAACCACTGCTATATGAGGCTCTGTCACAGAAAAACCAAATACAGCTAAACCCGTAGATCATAGGTAATGAATTAAGTGTGCAGAGCAGTAATTTCATCCATGTTGTTATGTAACCATGAGAGGTCTGTTTTCAGAACTTTCTCATCATTTACAAATTCATTTTTTTCTTTAAATTTTTTTAACCTTTCTGTATTACATGCCTTTGTATTGGTGGTGTGATTGAGTTCCCCCATAGAAAGCCACATCAGAAGCTGTGCTGGTACACTGCAAGAATTCTGTGCATCACAGCTGCTTCCTACCAAGGAGAAGTAGACTTAAGGAGGTGGTGGGGAGGTAGTGTAAGCAGGACTAGAGGAAATGGGGGAAAAGACTTCCGTGCTGATTGTTTTTGGTCCTTTCTGTCCCTGTTCATTTAAAAAAAAAAAATTGGGGGATGAGCTGGGAAAACAGTTGCAAAATTAAGCTCAGTTACCAGTTTGAAATCACTTTTAGAAAGGATTTGAAAGCATGTTGTGGGCACAAATATCTCTAACACAGATATTTTAATTTTATCTTACAGGATTTGAGCTTTTTGAAGAGCTGCCAACACCCAAGTTCAGTTTTGGAGGTAGATCTGGAAACACTGTAGCAGCTTTGGTTTTTCAAAAAAGTGAGACTTCCTTGGACAAAGTCAGTTAGCTTCCTAGAAGAAACTGTACAGCACAGAAACCTGATAGAGAAGAAGCAAGTACAAATAGTGCTTAGTAAGTACTTAGTAAGCACCAAGGCTGTGCAGATTGAGTACAGATAATGGGGTGGTGGGAAACCATAAGTATGGGAATCAGCATTTAGATATTAACTAAGAATAATTTAAAATTTTATTTTGTATTTGACATATAAATATTTTTCCTGTGCTTTGTAGCAGTTTTCTGTAACTATTAAACAGTTGAAAGCTTCAAGGCAGTATGAATTTACAGAAAGCATATATTCTTGTTTTTTTGTGTGTTGATAAAAGTTGAATTGAAAATGACTTTTATGAAGATTTGACCAAGCTGTTTCAAGACCAGAATAGTTAAGAATTTTCTTATGTGTAATAGACTATGAAGTATGTTAAGCGATGCCATTTTGTGATGATAACTTGGAGAGCTCCCTGATTGTCGTGTTATTAAGCAAACTCAGAGAAATTGATGAAATATTTTTATTTATTTATTTATTTTTGAGACAGTGTCTCGCTGTGTAGCTCTAGTTGTCCTGGAACTCAGAGATCCACCTGCCTCTCCCTCCCCAGTGCTGAGATTAAAGGTGTGAGCCACCACACTGGTAACTCTCTAGTCTTTACCCTGTGGAGGAGAGATGGGTAGTTTAAGGAGATAGAATAGTTCCATGTTAGCTAATGATGTTTTATTAAATCATTGAGTCCTCCAGGTATTTTCCCAAGGTTTTACTTGTTTATGTATAGGAGAGCTGCAGCCAAGAGTGAAGACACTTTTGATGATTCCCTTTTATTTTTTACATCCATTGGTATTTGCTTGCATGTATGTCTATGTGAGGGTGTCAGATCCCGTGGAACTGGAGTTGCAGACAGTTGTGAGCTGCCATGTGAATGCTTGGAATTGAACCCGGGTCCTCTGGAAGAGCAGCTAGTGCTTTTTACCTCTGCACCATCTTTTCAGCCACCCCCTCATTCTTATTTTAATTTAAAAAGAATTATTTAATGTGCATTGTTGTTTTTGCTTGCATATATGTATGAGGGTATCAGTTATAGACAGTTGTGAGTTGCCATGTGGGTGCTGGGAATTGAACCTAAGTTCTCTGGATGTGGAGCCAGTGTTCTTAACTGCTGAGCCATCTCTCCAGTCCTAAGTGGAGACACTTTTGCAAGGCCAGATAGTACCTGGTGAAGCCAAGATTCTTAGTTGGGTCTGGCTGACTTTAGAATTCTTCTTCTAACATAGTCTACTCCCGGGTGCTAAATCTTTGTCTTTATAGTATCTAAGTCAGTGCTACATACAAAATTCAGGTGGACACTTACTTTTAGGAGCTGTATAGCCCTTTGTTAGTATTGATCACTAACAACTGACTAACTAGTGCTGGACTGTGGACTTTGAGAATAGTGAGTTAGTCACCCGAATCTTATGACATCCATTATTACTCTTTACTGTCTCTGTTTTGAGGGACGGTCCTTTCCCAGGAACTGAACTGTCATGACACACCTGTAGTCTTAGCACTCAGGAGGCTGAGGTAGGAGGAGAAACTGAAGTTAAAAGGCTGGACTACACAGTGAAACCCCTTCTCAAAAAAAAAAAAAACCAAAGTTGCCATGTCACCATGAAGCCCGGAGTTCATACCCCTTGCGCCTGTGTAAAGTGCTGTATGCCGCAGCATTGCTTATAATCTCAGTGCTGCTAAGCAGAGATCAGAGACCCTGAGGCGTGATGGCCAGGCAGCCTAACTGAATCAGTTGGCTCCAGGTTCACTGAGAATAAAATAAATTCACAAAATAAGTCATAAATCATAAATTAATAAAATAAGTTCATAAAAAATAAAGTTGAGGATAACTGAGAAAGATTCCCTGTTTCGCATTCAGTGTAGTGACGGCACCTAAAGTAGCTGCTGTCCTGACTGGCATTGCAACTCCGTGTCTACCAGCCGCAGTTCTGATGTCTCACAGCCAGCTGGAAATTCCATTCCTTCAGGCACTGGCGCTCTCGTGGCTATTAAAGGAAATTTTATCTAAATCTCTATTCTAAAGAACTCAGGAGGGCTGGAGAGATGGCTCAGTGGTTAAGAGCACTGCCTGCTCTTCCAAAGGTCCTGAGTTCAATTCCCGGCAACCACATGGTGGCTCACAACCATCTGTAATGAGGTCTGGTACCCTCTTCTGGCCTGCAGACATTCACACCGAATATTGTATACATAATAAATAAATAAATATTAAAAAAAAAAAAAAGAACTCAGGATTCAGAGGTTGAGGAGAAATCCTGCTAGCTCAGAGAGGCTGAATAGCAAGTAGCTAAACTCCTCTTCTTCAGGTCTCCTGATAAAGGGCCATCCTTCTGCTCAGCCCCCACCAAGTTACCCTTGCTACACTTAGTTAACCAGGTTAATTTTATTTAATCAAACAAATGACATATCTTTGCATCGTTTACAAAAGCAGAAACAAATATAACACACCTTTACATGGTTAAACTAATATTCCACAACAATACCTAATGATCTCTGACTTCTACATACATATCCATATACAGTGCACACATGTGCAAGCATACACACACAAAAGAAAAGTGAAAAGTGAGTTTTGTCATTTATCTTTCTGTGGAAGGGGATTGTTAGTTGTATGAACTTAGAGGGAGGTAGAGACGAGGTACTTATCTGGAGGGCATTTATATATTGAAAACGATAAAGTGTATCATCTATATATCTAGTATTTAAGGAAACTGTATTTGGGACAATATTTTAGTATTGGAGTCTTAATGTATTTTTTTTTTAATTATGTAACTTTGGGGGTACTGGAAAGATGGCTCAGCAGTTAAGGGCACTTGTTGCTCCTGCAGAGTACCTGAGTTTTTATCCAGAACTCACGTGGTTCACACCATCTGTTATTCCAGTTTGTAGGAGTCCCATATTCTCTCTTCTGGCCTCCTTGGACACCAGACAGGCATGTGGTGTGCAAACATTCGTATAGACAAAATATGCATATGTAAAATAAATTTTTAAAAGTTATATAATTTTTGATGATTTTCAGCTTTTTGAGAATATTGAGTTTCAAAAAACCTTTTTTTTTTTTAATGGTAAATATTCTTTTAGTATTTAGCCTCCCTAGTCCAGCATTATATGGTTTTTGTTTTGAGGGGTAGAGGAGGAAGACAAGCCTGTAACTTCGGTCAGCTTGACCATCAAGGCTACTAGTTGTCTTTTCAATATTTGGAGACAGTTATATAGACTTTGAACAAAAATAATGATTTTGAAATAGCTTTTATTTTAGAATGCAAAATGTGAGAAATTACTTTAAAATATATATAACTTAAGCTTTTCAGAATATTGTTATTTATGAGATATGGAATCTTTTTAGTGTGTATGAACATACACATGCTAGTGCATAGGCTACACATATGGAAGCCAAAGGAAGACTTTGAGTCTCTTTTTGTTGTTGTTGTTTTTTGTTGTTGTTGTTTGTTTTTTTTTTTTTTTTTTTGAGACAAGATCTCTACTTAGTCCTGGCTGTCTTGGAACTCACTTTGTAGACCAGGCTTTGAGCTCAGATCTACCTGCCCCTGCCTCCTGATTAGGTGCTGAGATTAAAGGCTAGCGCCACCACACCCAGCCCAAGTATCTCCTTATATTGCTGCTTTATATTGTCTTCCTTATTTCCTCGAGGCAGGGTCTCTTACTGAACCTGAAGCTCAGTGTTTGAGTTAGGTAGCTGGCCAGCAACCTCCAAGGACCTGCTTGTTTGCGGCTGCCAGCTCTGGAGCATACACCCATGCCTGACTTTTCCATAGGTGTTGGGGATTCAAGTTCACGCTTGCGCAGCCTGCCCTCCCTAGGCAGAGGTCTTTAAGCTGTAGAGATGTACCGTTTTATAATTTATTGAGGTGGTTTTATTTTTTATAAATAAAAGGTATTCCAAAATTGCCTTCAGTTTCAAAAATAACAGTACTCTACATGGCAAGTTCCAATCCAGCTGGGACTATTTAGTGCGGACTCGTCTAAAATAAATAAATACTCTTAGAATTTTAAGTGGGCAAATCTAAAGTATTACTTCACTTTCAATAAATCACTTTCTGTGTGAGCAGGTTGACTCACAGTTAGCTTGAGATGTGTCTGTTGTTGATTGAGTCCTTTTGTGGGGCATGTTTGTTCTGTTTGCAAAGGTAGAGGCTTTTTCTTTTTTCACTGTGAAGCTGTGGATAAGGTTTAAAGGGGAAAAAAAAGGACTTGCTATTTCTTCTTAGCACTTTAATCTTGCTAGAAGCCAGCCATTTAAGGTTTGAAAATGCTAACAAGAAACTAGTTATTTTCAGATAGTACCAAACTGTTAAGAACCTAGTCATTAAATATCTCTAAATTTTATGAAATAAACTATGAACACTTTATTTTAAAGTTTAGTTTTGTTACCTCTTATTAATATGTGGGTACATGAATGAAATGATGCCTGTACAGAGAAGAACAGCACGTGATGGGATGATGCCTGTGTTCTGTGGATGAGAAATTGGAATTGGCCAGGCAGTGGTGGCGCATGTGCCTTTGATGCCGGCACTTGGGAGGCAGAGGCAGGTGGATCTCTGTGAATTTGAGGCCAGCCTGGTCTACAAAGTGAGTTCCAGGGTAGTCAGAGCTATACTACAGTGAAACTCTGTCTCAAACAAAACAAAACAAACAAACAAACAAAAAAACCTCCTAACACACAAAAAAAGGAAACTGGAATTGTAGTTTCATTAAATCAAAAGATGTTTTGAGGAAACTTGTTTGAAATGCAAGCAAGAACTGGGGCTACTGCAGCACAACAGGCCATTGTCTGTAGGAAGCACAGGTCCCAGGGCACATGCTGGTCCATGGGAAAATCAGGCCTGAGTGCTGCAGGCAGACGGTCAGGCTCCATGACTTAGCAAATAGAAAGTATTGAGAACATGTTGTTTTAACCAGGTATACAAGTTGAAGTTTCTTTTGGGGACTGACACTTCGGTCTGTGATTCAAACCTGACATTAGTCTTGGCAGCTTGACTAGAGCCATTTTAAAATAAGTACAAATTTAGTTGATCTC